GAGAGCCGGCCGGGCAGGAGGGGAGCGAGGCGCTTCCCGGAACCGGCCGGCTAGGGCCGGCTAGTGTGATTTTTGGCGTTTCCAAATTTTGTCCGTCCGAGCTCAAATATTGAACAGCTTCTTACGGAAATGGACAGAGGACTTCAAGACGTTTCTAACGATTCCAAACTGTTGTATACTGCATCTGCCTATTCACACACTGTCGTGCAAATATCCGCTACCCAAGCTTATATGTACTACTGCTCGCACTCTGTCACTTCACTTCGGAATAAACCAGTAAACTCAACCAGTTCGCCTCTTTACTTGATTTACAACACTGGCGACGAGAGAAGAGAACGGTCAGAAGAACAGCGAAGATTGAGTATTCTCGCCCACCTTTCTGTGCAGTTTTCTCATCATCAATCAAGAGGTCCGACTGACAGTTGCAAGTTTTAACCTATCCGAGCACGTGTGCTGCTTCAACGTCCCTGCCCGCCGGCTCCTCTTAAATCGAGTCCTTAGTGAGTACTGCTTCAGCACCATGGGGGAGAAAATTCCAATCTTCGATTTCTCCGCACCCGAACGTCTGGAAGAATTTCTGGAAGATATGGTCATCCTCATGGCGTCGAAGGCAATTACAGCGGAGGCGCAAAAACGTGGAATTTTGATCCGCTGTTTATGTGAAGAAACAAAGCGGAAAGTCCGGGAATGGATTCATCCGCTTACTCTCCCTGAGTGTCCATACAATCGGCTTCTAGAAGTTCTGAGAGAGAACGTGCAGCCGTCTGTTAACCGCGACGTGCAGTTCAACTCCTTGGTCACGAGATTTCAGTAGGAGGGTGAGTCAGGGGTGGCATACTGCGCTGAGCTGGAACGACTTTCTATGAACCTTGGTTTCACTAGAGAGGATGCCAAGCTTCTGGTCCTGTTTCAATTCAAGAGAGGTCTCCGAGACCATTCGACGCAGGTCAAGCTTTATGGTGATCCAACCATATCTCTGGATGGGGCCAAGACAACAGCCAAGGCTGCCGAATCCAGCAAGGCATGCATTAGTAGCCTCCAGCAGCACGTTGAAGTCCATGCAATGCACTCAGCACGGAAACAAGTGAATTTCAACAAGCAGCAGACGGTTTCGAAGACGGTCAAGACACCTGTTTCATCTGAAGCCCCCTCTGCTAACCAGATCTCTTGTTTCCGTTGTGGCGAGTCAGGTCACATTACTGAGCAATGTTCATTGAAGTACAAAGATTGTCATTGTTCTAATTGTGGCAAAATTGGGCATCTCCTTGCTGCATGCAAGAGAGCGAAGAAACAGAAAGAAGAGGTTTCAATCAACAACATGCAAAGCGTCAGTTCCCTTGCTGTCGCTCCTGAAGCTAACCACAAGACTCCCACCCCAACCTCGGACTGGGCCGTCAAAGGCTTGGACCAGTCAGTCTTCGGAGATCTAGGCTCATTCAGATTCAGTGGTTTTGATACCTTCTTCTAATGAACTGTTTTGTCTCCCCTCTTTATGTGCTTGTCACATTCTCAGTGTCCTGTTTACCCTTTTTGTTGGATCCTTTTGCTCATTGCATTTCTTAGTGTCCAACCCATTTAATAATGTGTATGTTATCTTGCATTTCAAACACCCCTGTCATTGTATTGTGATATTCAGCCTCTTCTGGCTATACTTTCCTTACTTGTGATAT